CTAATGCATAGGCGGTCTGCTAGGTATTCAGTAAAGCGGCTAATGCATAGGAGCTGAACCTTTTGTTAAAACACCTTCAAATGCTTGGACCTATCGCCTTTCCGTTCTTTCGCCTTTATTCCACTTGCGAATTGAGTTAATTGAAAACCAATGTCAGAGTGTGTGCGTGTGTGTGTAACCCTTGGAATCAAAGGGAACCTTTAGGTTTGGAACAGGGGGACGGGACACCTCTGGCATTTCCCGTCCAACGAAGAGGATGCCAGCAGGTGCTGATGCAGTGGGGGACGCCCCACTGTGTACCTGTTCCACTATTTAGGAAAACAGGAGGAAATGGTACTCGACACACTTGTGTGTCGGTGCCTTTCCTTCTGTTTTCCTCTAGGCTACTCTACAGGTTTGCAGGTAGGCCTCCAAACTTTGTAAGGGGTTCTTTAACTTGAGCTTTGGCCTCTACCCACTAGATTGACCCCCAACTCGCTGTTTTGCTGTCTTGTGCTTCTTGTGCTTTTGTGCTTCTTGTAACCTTGTAGCGCTGGCCTCCAACTTGGTACCCTGGCCTCTACCCACTAGCAAGGACCTCCAACTTTGACTGTCTTGTGGTTTTCTTGTGCTTTGTAACCTGGGAGCGCTGGCCTCCAACTTGGTACCCTGGCCTCCAACCTACTAGCGATGACCTCCAACTTTGCTTTTGCTGTCACTTTGTGTCTATGGTCCACCGCCTACTAGCGATGGCCTCCAACCTTAGGTCTTGGCCCCAACAGCCTCGCGTTGACCTCGAACCCAAAACCGTTGGCCTTCAACCTACTATTTACTGGCACCTCAGGCCTTATAACTAACCTAGGCCGGCGAGTGGCACCGCTTTCAGTTCAGTACACCCTATCCTAAGTGTGCTCCGATGGGGCTTTTGGGTGAAGTCTCGTACGAATGCTCGTTTTGGGACTTTGACATGTGACTTTTGGAGGAAGTCTTGTGCGAAACGCTCGTTGCAGGCTTGAAGTGTGAGTTTTTTTGAGGAAGTCTCGTGCGAAACGCTCGTTTTGGAGACTTGATGAGTCGAGTGAATTTTGGCAGAAGTCTCGTACGAAACGCTGGTTTTGTAGACGTGACGTGCGAGTGGCTTTTGGAGCAAGTCTCAGTCTTGGAGACGTGACTGTTGACTTCGGGGACTTCCCACAAGAGTGCCCCGAGAGTGTTCCACAAGAGTGTGCTATACAAGCGTGTTCTACAAGAGTGTCCCACAAGGGTATCCTACAAAAATGTCCCACAAGAGTTTTCCAGAAGAGTGCCCCGCAAGAGTGTACCACAAGAGTGACCTACAAGAGTGTCCCGCAAGAGTGTCCTACAAGAGTGACGCGCAAGAGTTTCGGACAAAAGTGCTCCGCAAGAGTGTCCCACAAGAGTGTCCTACAAGAGTGTTCCGCAAGAGTGTCATACAAGAGTGTCCCGCAAGAGCGTCCTGCAAGAGTGTCCCACAACAAGACTGTCCGACAAGAGTGTCCTACCAATGTCATACAGAAAGCAGTTTCTGGGAGCTGTGGAACTGGCAGATGTGGGAAGCAGGTTGTGGGAGCTGTGGCGTCAGAACTGGCCACTTGGTAGTACAAATGTAGCGCGGGAAGCGGCTTCTGGCAGGTGCGACCTCAGGACTCCAGGCTCGCAAAATCTGCCTGCCGGCAGCGGGTGCTTCTAGCGACAGCGCTCTCGTTGTGGCGCCGTGTGCATTTTGGTACATGGTGGTCACTTTTTGTGGCAGGTGCAAGGGAAACCTCGTGTTTTGGTGCTCCAAAGTCGACTTTTCGTGACAGGTGCAGGGGATCGGAGCTGTTTTACTATGCAGTTTTCGTGGCAGGTGCAGCACTTTGGACATGGTGGTGATCGTCGAAGAGCTCAGATTTCGTGCTCACTGGTAGCGCACATGTAGCTTCTGAGAGCTGCGGCCTCAGAACTGGCCACTTGGTAGTACGACTGTAGCGGCAAGCAGCTTCTGGCAGCTGTAGAACTGGCAGCTTTGTAGTACCAATGTAGTACGAGAAGCAGCTTCTGCGAGCTGTGGCCTCAGAACTGTCAACTTATGTGGCAAAATTACATCTGAGCACAAGAGTGTCGTACGTGAGTGTCCCGCAAGAGTGTTGCGCAAGAGCCCACAAGACAGAGCTTAGAGTCTCAAAAATTGTTTGGGCGCTTGTTTTCAAGTACGTGTTTGCATTCGGGTTCGTGGGCTCCATTTTTCAGAACGATATGTTGCATTTCAATGAAAGCGCTTGAGAATGCAATTTAACTAACAAATTTGCCGTATCAATTATCAATTGCCTATACACTATGGCGAAGCCGGGCCCAACCCGGGCATACCTCAAAAAATCCGGCGCCTGCAAATGAACTGGAGTGCACATTCCAAAAGACAGATATGGTGGTGACAGGGTTTGGATTTAAGAATTCACCATGTGCTAGGAGAGTAGTCATATGATCCGATGCCCATGGACGAATCCTGTCGGACACCTCAGCACAGGAGCTGCGAAGGGTGCAGGACATCGCTTTCACAGTGAACGGTGCGTGCGGGTGCTGAGCGAACAGTTTGGTCGGTATGATATATATATATATACATATATATATATATAAATATGTGCATTATAGATAGTGGCTCTTGTAGACGGTATAGACTATGCAGATTATAGATGACTTGTCCACTTAATTATATAGTTATCCGCGAGAATCTTTCGGCTTTTGATTGAGGCATTGGGAAGGTAGAATCTGCCAGGTAGAATGTGTTCGCTTCAGGAATCCAACCAGGAGAGGAATTCAACCACACCAGTAACAAGTGTCTCATCCAGAGTCGATTGAATTCCTTGATGGGTGGCTTAAATTGTGCGGTTTACATGATCATTATATGATTCTATGCCCGAAGCTTTTGGCTTTCATATCTGTGTTCCTCCAGAGAAACATGCCACCAAAACGAGTCGCTGCTGCAAAGGACCGTCCGAGGGAGGTTGTGCAACGCTCTCGATCATTCAGAGTTGACAAACGCCATGGTCCAAAGGTCCAAAGGTTTGTCCAACGAAGATTAAGACTTTCATGCACCACCGCCTTGCTGATTGTTCATTGAAACTGCTTTAAAACGCCTTTGGCGCTTCGCCCCGATTCTTGACCGACAAAAAATAGTCAGGCAAACGGCAAACACGATCTATACAAATAAGTGCTGACCTAGTTCATGGGGATTTTGGAATAGGGCTACGGGTGCGACATTGGCAAAGCTGTATAAGCTGGCAAACAATGCGCCAAACTTCATGCCACATCAGCCGGACCGCATCGTTTGAGCGGCAGGATGTGGAGCCTGATGAGGAAGAGACTCTGGTAGAGGAGCCTGAGGATGAGGATGAGCCGGCGTTGCCAGCGAAGAAGGCGAAGGTGAGAGCAACGCCTGCATTGTTGGAAAGGATGGACATGGTGCCAAAGATACATGATACAATCACAAAAATGTTAAACTGTCAAGCTCATTGGTTTGGTGCAGTGATGTCAGTCTTTGCCGCGAGTCTTTGCCCCAGGTTGTGGCTTTTGTTCCTTATGGTTGTAGAAGTATTATATGCACAGGTCGCCGCTTCAAATGCCACTTGCAACATGGTCAACAGGACTTGGATGTAGCAGGTTTGTGCCCCAGAGAGTTTCTGTCCTTTCTGCCTTGGGGTTGGCAGCATCGACACCATCTGAGTCCGGCGGCAGGCGCTCCCTGCCCGCGGGGCCATCGCCAAGGCGAAGGCTGAACCTTTTTGCATTTTACAATGGTCATCCCAGCGCTTCGGTTAGATTAAGAAGTAGGGACCCAGCTGGGACACCACAGTCACAAGAGCCACACTGAATTCACTTTTGCACGGCGGCAGTGTGGCTGTAGAGCTGGCAAGTACTCTGAGCAACGAAAGTCACCTCATAGAGACTCATAGAGTTGACATTTGTGGCGGTAAACTGGCGGCAAAACACCTGTGTGTTTGAGCCCCCCTGATAATCACGAACTCGGAACTATCATTATAATTATGTACCATTGTGAACTCTTGGCCACACACTAATAAAGTGTTCTTTGTGCGTCTTTTGGTTGCGCTTATTGGCATTGAAGCAAGGATGCACACCATTGGCGTGACTTTTAACGCAGTGGCCGAGTCTTCCGCAAGGCCAAAGGCAAGGCGAAGGCCAAAGCCAAGGCTGCAGTCAAGGCCAAAGCCAAAGCTGGACCAGCCCGTGGTGTCATCAAGGCGGCCATGAAAGCCGCACCAAAGGCCAAAGCCAAGGCTTGTGGGGTGGTGCGCAGACGGAAAAGATGTCAATGAGAAGAAAAAGAGGTGTTCAGGTTCCTTTAAAGGGGTCCAAACACCTTTTCTTTTCCCAATTCTTTAGAATTGCTTGTTCCATACTGTGGAGCAACGGTTGCGTCGCCGTGCCTACATGATCCTAGACTTGGGTGCCCAAATCAATCGATGCAGTGCCAATCAAGGGGGACCTTTGCTTGAGAAAGGAACTGCAGCCTGTGAAACTTCTACTGGGCCTGGAAGCTTTTACTTACAGTAGCTTTTTTGAACCATTGTTTGTGAGGCACATGTTCACAAGAACAACTAGTGACTTTAAGGACATGATTTTTCCACTTCCGCAAGGATGCCCTTTGACTTATTTTATACAATGCACGAACATGGAAGCGTCTATGCTGTCCACCAGGCAATAGCAGCGAAGGAGTTTGCTGACGTGGCAGCAAAATTGAAAAAGACCAAGAGCAAGGTGGGAGGTGTCTAATTCCGGAGACCTGAGAAAGTTTGGACACTTGCAGGGATTTAGAATGATTTCTCCTCATGGAGTGGAGACCTGTCCAGCGTAGGGGGACTAGGGCATCTCGGCGTTTGCTCTTTTGGTAGTCTTTTTGACTTGTTGCTTCCTGATGCTACTTGCAGGAGCGTATGTCGTGCTGTGGGTTTCTGATTTCCTCAGCTTTTGCGCTCTTGTGTTTTGCGTGCTATTCAGCTATTCTTCTTGTGTTGGGCATGGGCAGCGCCACCGAGCTGAGCTTCTCCGAATCCTTTTCGGGAGACTCGCCGGAGGAGCTGTGGGCGCTCGTGCCATCAGCCGTCCGCTTGGGCATTTGCCCTCACGGCTTTCCAGACGTCGAGATTTTGGATGCGTTCTGCCTGGATGACGCTGATAGGTGCAAATTTCTATTGCCTTTCGCCGCAGACGCAGAGGAGCTGCACATGCTCTCAGTTGTTTTGAGGCAACGGCGGAGGGCGCGGGTGGACTGCTTTGCAATCTAAAAAACCCAACGCTGTGAAAAGATTGGGGACTTTACTCCTGCAGATTCTTTACAGTGGTTGCTCAAACATTCCGGGGCTCGGCTGTCCTCGCAGAAGTGGCGGCCAAGAAAACAAGCGACTGCTGGAACCGGTTCGGTGGCGCGCAAAGCTTGCATCTATATATTTTGATGTCTGCAAAAGTTCCTGCGCTTCATGTTCATCTCGCGCTAGCGCTCTGAAAAAGCACGGGCAGATGTGGGTGCGGCTTGCCAATTGGCTTTATGCCGCATACAATGTCCAGTGGCCAACGCATGTGTCTATGGTGGTCGACTTTTTAGAAGAGCTTGCAGCGCGCCCTTGTGGCGCTTCCGTCCCCCAAGCTTTTCTCAGCACCTTGGGTTACATGGAACGCGCTGGGGGCATTGCTGTCGAGTGCAGACTCGCGTCAAAGCCGGCGCTCGCAAAGTGTGTGGATCAGTTGAGGATGCAATTGGAGCAAGGCTCAGGCCCGCCGAAGAAAGCACGGCCCCAGCCTTTGAAGCTCATCGCTTTGGAGCTCCTGGTATTATCAGAAAACGCGCCCCGCGATTTCCGGGTTTTTGCATGGGCTAAGGTGATAAAGTTCTGGACTTCGTCAAGGTCTGATGATCTGGCTGGGCTGTGCCCCTCCAGCATGTCTCTAGACTCTAGACAAAGGAGGATTCAGTGCTCTCCAAGTACCAAGACTTCAGGGCAAAAACTACGTTGGCTTCCCATTTTCGTTGATTCTACAGCTTCTTTTGCAGGTGTGGAATTGGTTGACCCCCGGAGTCACCTTTACACCTTTTTGAAAAGTAGTGATTTTGATTTCGACAGACTTTCAATCTTGTCGCCGCAGCGTGGCTGACTACAGCTGTATGCACCTTGTCCAAGGTTTTGCTGCAGGGATTGCGCTTCCCTTTCTGGAGACGTGGTGGTTGGGCTTTTGCGGACAGCAAGCTGTTTTTGAGCGTGGCTGCCACGCGAGCATGGACTTAGCATAGTGAGCGCTCCTGGATGACTAGCGTTGCAGCCATCCCCCGGGACAAGCGCAATTTCTTCGGTCGCTGGCAAGTTGCTAGCAGCAGTGATGAATATGTTCGCACTGCGCGTAGGGTGGTCCGCCAAGTGCAGCGTGAAGTTGTTGCTGGGGTTTTGGCCGGCGGCCGGCGTGTCTGGCGAAGTTAAAGACATTGGTTTGAAAGAATTGGAGCAGCGCCTTTGTGAGTCGAGTGTGGAGAAGCGGATGCTGATGTCTCTGCGCAGATGGAGCTTTTGGCTGTTGGTCGGTGGTCCCAACCGTGTCCTCCACCTTTGGATTTTGCGGCGCAGCCAGTCCGTCCCACCAGTGACAGAAGACTTGGAGGAGGCTCAGACTTTCAAATATTTCGTTTGTAATTCCAAGAATGGCCGATATCGGCGATTGCATCGCTGGCATGGCTGCGGCTTTTTAAAACCTGGCCTCGAAATCACAAAGTTCGAGGGGTTTGATGATTTGAACAATGTTGAGTTTGACGCGGCCTGCAAACATTGTTGGCGTGACTCTGCCGTGGTAGACAATGGTTCGAGCTCGGCCGAAAGCACAGATGAAAGTGATGGTTCATGCTTCATGACCTAAAGACAGCCGCCCCTGTCGTTTTACTTTAGACACTTCTTGTCGACGTTGGGATGCGTCGAACAAGACAGCACCTCGGCCTTGTCGCGTGATTGATCGACCTGTTGCGCTGATGCCAGCAGGTTGCTGGGCTTGTCTGTGCTGACCAGCTTGTCAGCCGCGATCAGACATGTCTTGAATTGTTTAGTGTCGTAGTTTTTGGGCTTGGTAGATGTATTTTTCTGCATGCGCGCCCCCCTGCCTACATGACTTGTATGGAGGGTCTCTGGTGCAAAGAGTTGCGCTTGGCATTTCTTGTGCGAACTTTTTGCTTGCAGCTGGTTTTGTCTTTTCTTTTCGTTGGGCATGCCACTGCATGTTGAAGCTGAGCGAGGATGAGCGCCAGCCCGCGCTGTCCGCTGCCTCTTCTGGTTTGAAATTTCATCCGGCAGAGACAGTGCCAGAGGACGTGCATGCTGCCCTGCTCCACAAAGGGTTCCTCAATCTGCAGTTGTTTTCGGGCTTGGATGAATCGCGGGCTGAAGTCCGGAAAGCTGTGATTGCCGAGATCGGTCTCAATCGCGAAGATAGCGCTCAGTCACGGGTGGCCATGGCAAGTTTGCTAGCAGCGTGGGAATCTTCCCGCCTGCAGGCCTCCACAAAAGAAAAGTAGCTGAAAGTGGAGAGTCGGTTGGGGCAATCGCAGCGTGTGGTGCAGGTTTCTGAAATGGCAGCAATGCGGAAAGCCGTGAGTTTGGCAGAAGTCCTTGGTTGCAGGGTGCCCTGCAAGCTGAGGATCTTCGTCAATTACTTTGTCTGGAAGACAAAGACATTGATCTTTTCAGCAGCATTGTGGAACGTGTTTTCAATGAAAACGTTTTTTTCACACCTTTGCCGCGCCCTTTGCCTTTGCCACGCTGTCTCTTGGTGTCTGCTCGCTCGTCCCCAAAGGAAGAGAAGAAATCCGCCGAGGTTGTCAACGGCAACAAGACATGCAAATTGAGTCGGTCAGGTGAATTGGAAGCGCCAATTTCCAAGCAGGGCGCCGCATAGACCCACCAATCATGAGCGGGTGATTGACAATGTGTTTCCCCAAAATAAAACCAGAGAAACGGCGGAAAGCATCCAGAAGGTCAACCGTCAGGCAGGTTTGGTTGCGGTGCTTGGAACGGCGCATTAACCATGCAACAGCAATCAGTCGATGGCGCTGCCGCAGCTGGTAACGCCACCCGAGCAGTGCCTGGCCGCATCTTCAAAAACTGCAAGTGGAAAGTCCGTTTGCTTCCGCTTCAACAACGGCAAGTGTGCTGGCGGTTGTGGTTCTGAGCATGTTTGCTAGATTTGCTTGGAACACACGCACCATAAGAGGTCTTGCCCCCAGCAGCCGGGGGATGGACCTGATGCAGTTGCTTGAATTGCGGCAGGGGCTCCTTGTCCGAAGGGGGGGCCCCGTCTTAGTTTGCTCGGACACTTCTCTGCAGCATCCTTTGCGCCCGCCTTCGGTTGGGATTTCTTCTGCAGCCCAAGAAGATACCTCCGCCTCTGCGTGCGTTGAAGATGGCGCTTTAGTTGAAGACGAAGATGGGCTTTGCAAGCCGCGGCGCGGCGCTGGTGTTTGGGGCTTTGGGGCACCGTTGCATTCATGGCTCATGGGAAAGAAACGGGCTTTCACAGAGGGGGGCTGGGGTGTGTTCACCAGGGCGATGGGCGCCAGAGAGCCGAAGATCAGCTTTGTGCGAAACCGGTTGACTATGGCCAACCTATTATGTTTCTCGCGTTTGCGCAAGTTTTTGGGTGAGCAACTGGATTTCAAAAACCTACTTAACTTTTTGAGTTGGCTTGCGGCAAGCGCAATGTGTGTCCTTTCAGTGAGAGTATGCTCACAGAAGCCAGGGAAATCATCAAAGACTGCGCGCTGGATTTCGATGAAGTGCCACATAGACAGCCTTTCAAGCTTGCGTTGATTGAAGAATTCCAGAGGATTTCGGGCGACCTTGATTTTCGGGCTTTTTACAGCGGCAGCTCATTCAGACACGGTGTAGCTGTGGGTGTGGATTGCAAGCTTCCGCGTACGCCAGCAGTCTTTGAGGGAAAGGTGAAACAAAAAGATTACACCGGACAGCAGTTGCCAGATGTGGTGCTGCGCAGCAACTACCCCACGGCAGAAGAGAACGCAGCAGCGCTGGAAAAAACGTTTTGGAAGAGGAGGAACGTGGTGCCATGGTGAAAGGCATCTGCAAAATATGGTAGCAGGTTGCGCTTGGCCTCATTGGGTGTAATACTCAGGCCGGACAATTCCTTTTGTGTCATACACGATGGAACTCACGGCGCAGGGGTCAATGGCTGCATCGCCGTTAGAGACCAACTTGCAGTCCCTACAGCAGGTGATCTTCGGCAAGCTGTCAAGGAATTGGAGCGCCCGTCATTCGTTCTCACCACAGATGTCAGTCGAGCGCATCGGCTAGTCAAGATCAGGGAACGCGACTGGGGTTACCAAGCATGCAAAAGCTCTAGTCTAGGCTCATGGGAGGTTTGCAGAGGGCTGTGTGTTATCTCTGTGGAACGGAGGCTTTGTTCATCCTCACATATGTGGATGATTTGCTGTGGATCGCTAGAGGGAGTACCGTACAGCGAGAGAGGCAAAAGCAGTGGCTTTGCTTGTCTTGTCATGCCTTGGTTTGCTTTTCTCTTGGAAGGAGTGCCATGGTGGTGCGTGTGTTGACCGGGTGGGCTATCAACATCGAAAAACGGGTCATCGGCACCAATGAAAAAAGATACAGCGCACGCTGGATCGCGCTGAAGAGAGAGTTTGCTTCAGTACTGGGGCGGCTGAGCTTTAATTACTCTTGCCGCGGTCGAGTGCTTGAGGCCATTTTTGGGGCCGCTTTTTGCTTGGAGCGCAGCAGTTGCGCATTGCAAGAAGATGAAGGTTCCAAAGATTTTGACGCTGGTTTTCATGTCTTTGCAAAGCCTGTTGAAAATGGGTGCAGTCTCAAGCCATTGGTTCCAGGTCTCCACAGCCAGTAGAATTGTTCCGCGCTGATGCTCGCGCAGAAGGGGAAGAGATTTGGATTGGTGTGCTGTGGTGGCTGATGCTTCTTGTACGACAAATTGCCCATGGTTCAGTCAACGCCTTATACAAAAGGGAGAATGCAGGATGGGCGTTCATTGCTGGAGAGCCCTTCAGGGCCATCGCCTCATTAGAGATGTTGGCAACACTTGTCGGGCTGGTTGTGTTTGGGATGCATGGACAAGAGCGAGGAATCTTCTTTTTGCTCCGCAGCCACAGACAATTTGGGCAATGCTCATGTTTTGGGTCGCCTGTTGACAACAAAGTTTCCTTTGATGGCCTTCTTGATGGAGATTGCAGCGAGATTAATCCATGACAATGCACATTTGAGCTTGGAGTGGACCCCTCGATTTCAAAAACCGCGAAGCTGATGCCCTGACAAACGGAGATTTCCATGATTTTGATCCTCGTCACAGGGTCCGATTCTCTTTGGACGAGTTCGAGGGGCTAGTGCTGCAAGACATGCTGGATGCTGGGGCAAATCTCTTCAGCGAGATCAAGGCTGGGATTGCGAGGAGAGTTGCGAAGCGTACAAAGTCTGCCAGCAACAAAGAAAAGCAGCCTTGCCATGGGGTTGATCTTGCAGGCCCAAGAGCCTGATACGTATGCGACCAGGTTTGCGTGGAGCTTGGGAGCATGGGTCGCCTAGCGGTTGGGATAGGAACTTTGCGCCCACGCTTGGGCAGCAGCATTTTTAAGGCATAGGTTACGCCTTGTGTTTCTTGTTTGCATACGCTATGCATTTTTGATGTTTCCCATACCGCTTCATGTGGAGGGGCGTCGCTCTCTTGGTGTTTGGGGATTGGTTTATACATGTTACTCATTGCGCTGTAGATGCGTCAGTCCCATGGAGTGGACACCTGTCCAGCCTAGGGGGACTAGGGCATCTCGGCGTTTGCTCTTTTGGTCGTTTTTTTTGACTTGTTGCTTCCTGATGCTACTTGCAGGAGCGTATGTCGTGCTGTGGGGCTCTGATTTCCTCAGCTTTGCGCTCTTGTGTTTTGCGTGCCCCACCCTCTGCCACCCTGCGGCACGCTGGGATAGGAACTTTGCGCCCATGCTTGGGCAGCAGCATTTTTAAGGCATAGGTTTTGCCTTATGTTTTTGTTTGCGTATGCTATGCATTTTTTGATGTTTCCCATACCGCTTCATGTGAAAAGGTGTTGCTCTCTTGGTGCTTGAGGATTGGTTTACACATGAGACTCTATTGCGCTGTAGATGCATCAGTCCCCTTTACTGCAACTAGAAACAGACATCGGGTGGGGGGGAAAAGATTTTATTATTCTAGGTTCCATGCCTATTCAAGGAGGTGAAAGGCCAATGTATTCTGCATTGAATTTCATTGTATTTACTTGGCAAAGTCTCCGTGCTTGCATTTCTGCAAAAGAGGGGACTATGCAGTAGAAATAGCTTTTTCATATGAAAGACACATGAGAGTGTACAGTTGATAAAAACGTACCGGAAGAACACTGATTGGAGCCTTCATGCTTTCACTTCTTGAGACTCTTGATTGGTTTCCATCGTTCGTTCGTCAGGAAACAGTGGCGGGTGAAGGGCAATGGTATTTCATGAGCGATCTACGAAAAATGAAGGCTGGGGTGGATGACCCGAAGCCTGAGTTTGCTTCAGGTATTTTCAAAAGTCAATTGAATCAATTGGTTGTTTGTGTTACTTTTGGAGTTTAGTTTATATATACATATCTGTTTCCTGCAGATCCCTGTCAAGCAAGTCCAAGGAAAGCGTGGACAAAGTATGATGCCAAGATGAACAAGCAGCTCGAAACTGCATATAGCAAGGGCTTCAAGCAGTACACCATGAACTTCAAGGACAAACAGTACATTGTGAAGTGCCTTGAATGAACTGAGAGACCCGGTTCCTTTTGAGTTGGACGTGCAACTGTGCTTAAATATGTTACAAATTCATTGCCTTGCCAACTACAGACCATCAACCTTCAAGCGACATATCCATGTCACGTCCCAGAAGCAGCCTAAACCCAGGTCGGTAAGTAGGTTTTGGTTCCATTTCTTTTTCGAACTGTGTATATATATAGACAAGTGAGAGTCACAGTACATCAGGTTCAGCACAATGATGCAGTTTCGGGCTGATGACAAGACCTTGCAGCGGCCAGTGAAGCGTGAATGAACACAGTGTACAAAGCCGGCGCCCGCCGCTGTTGGAAAGCTACAGCTGGGCGGCTTGTTTTCATCAAGCAAGAGTTGAAAACAAACAGCACGGGCACAGGGAGCTCTTGCTCGCCACTACACTTTCTTATACTTTCTTCTTTGAATCTGAATCTAAACAGATAAACAACAGGATGCAGGGAAGACGGCCCCAAGTTCCACGAAGGTGGTCTAGGACAAGAGGTTTAGCTCTGGCTCTTTGGTGTCCGAGTCCTGGACCACCAGCCGGAAGGTCAATGGGAGACTAAACTTCATGAAGACCAATTGACCTGGGACTGACTATCTTCTTAAGATCAGCCAGGAGTTTAGAAGCAGTTTTGGAGCAGCTTCCCAGGTTTCACTTCTATCGCGTCGCCAGCATCCACCAGACTCGAGGTGAGCGGGAAGCTGGGACCTTGAGGGCCATCACTGAGGGCTGCGTGCATGTTTGGCTAATTTTGACTACTGCCTAATGTTTTGGGTCTTCTCTTATCCTCTTTTCCATTTTCCCACATTCTTGAGTTTCTGGCAACTTAATTTTTACTTGGCATGCCGCCCTCTTCTCCTCAACACCATCTTGCCGACACTTGAGTAAGTTGTCTGAAGATTTGGTCTCCGGGTCCTGAGACATGAAACATGAGAAAACTTAGGCTAGAACATTGAAATATGATGGCAAAGCTGAAAACATGCCGGCTGAGCTCTAACGACCTAAACAACCTGAACTATGAACTGCAGCCAATGTACTGTAAAAACAACTCTTTGGTTTGGGATGTGACTTGAAAGAAAATGATGCTTTTCTTGCTGGGCATGAGCTCACTGCAGGCGGGGCAGTTCGCATTGAAGCAGAAGATGGAACGCAGGAACCTTTGTGCTTGAGGAAATGGAGCGTCCAGATGTGAATGCTCTCAGCTCTTGGTGTGCCTTTGAGGAAAGAAAAGGGAACTTGATACAGAACTCGCTCCTTTTGGTCCAGTATATATAAATGCCATGTAAAGGTTCGCCCATTTCGGATTTAAAGGCCAGTGCATCGAATTATTTCACTAAGGCGGCTGCTGGTGCAAGATGAGACCATCATTCTTGAACGCCAGTGGTTCCCGAAGGACTGTTCGGATTTGCAAATAGCAAAGGATCAACGCTAGGTTTTAAACAGGGGTCAGAAGTTCTGAAGAGATACGTTAAGTTTCTTTATGGTTCATATGTGCTGCAGACAGCCTAGCACGTGACCAAGGCCTGGTGTTATTCGGGTGTTTGATCTTCAGACCAGCATCTCACCTAGAAGTGAGTATCACACTGGACTGGAGGCCTGCCGAGGCCTGCTTAAGCTTACTTGATTCAAGGGACTTGGCTGTTGAGGATTTGATGCAACATCAGACATCCCCAATAATCAAGCAGCCACAACCAGTACTGGGTTGGTGCCTGTTTATCTTTGGTTGGCACGAACCCTGACAGCGTGCCAACCGCAAGTTAGATAGTGAGACAGACAGTCGTACTTGCTTTGGGTGGGTGCATGTCAGTTCATGTATAGAGCTACAGGGCCATGCCTGCAAATTGCCTTTTCCTAGAAACAACTTTTACAAACCGCTTGGCCTGGTGTCTCCTGCGTAGCACTCACCCTGACCAGGAAGTTCTGCCAAGAGGAAGCACAGGCGCAGTTGATTGATGGATGATAAGTTGGTGTTTTGATAAGAGAATTGCAATCTGAAGCACATATCATGTTGAACACATTTTGCTTATTTTTGTCGAGAACAACACTCGTTCAAGCGCTTTGTGTTGAACCCATGCCCCGCACAAGTTTCAGGCACGCCTCCCGGTGTCTTGAAGATCATCCGTGCCGGCTGATCTCGATTTTGTGTGTTTTCCATCCTATTTCAAGTGAAACTGCACGCACAATTTGAAAAGTTGACCGATGGAAGAGCACCAACCAGCAACAAACCGAGCTCAACCCTGGACTCTTTAAGCTGGTCCTTTCGCCAACTTAGTTGAGTTCATTGTCAGTTGTCATTTTCGGGATTTCTGGTGTCCACATTTGTTTTAGGGAGGGTGGCTCGGTGAAGCACTGTTTCACTGGCTCGGCTGGCTAAGCTTGCTGAGTAGTCCTCATGGACAAGCTTGCATCAAAAGCTCTCGACTGCCAGCATTGTGACACTACTCACTACTAACTAATATATAACTAGTACCATTATCACCACTGCCCCTACTACTACTGCTACTGCTACTTCTATGCAATGTGTGTCAAGCTATGCATCGACTGTTGAACTTATCATAGAGCTCTTTTAAGGGCCTCCACGAGCGATCATTAGCACTCCAGGTTGCATTGCAGAAACCTCAAAAGTGCTTGTAGCCATTTATGACTCTATGACCAGGATCGCATATCTTTCCAAGCAACCTTGCGCAATAGTATCTTTCTTGTAGGGTGCAAGAAGCTTTCAGCTGTACAAAAAAAGGCCTCCACAGTTCTTCGACCTATGTGCACCAGAGAGATGTCCTCAGGCCGACCCGTGGTCATTCATGCAGCAAACTAGTTAGCGTCCAATGATAGGAATTGCAACAAGTCCTTTTTGGCAGATTTTGGTAAGTTTGCTGCATGCCGAATCGTGAGGTCCGCAAGTGCTACTACCTCTTTTTATTCTCAATCATGCGGACAGACACAATCATTGTGGGTCCTGTCAGTTGTATTCATGGGAGCACTTCCAGAGTCACAGAGAACCTGCAGTCCCACAAAGGCCCAAAAAACATCCAAGAACATGTTTGCGAAGGTCCTAAGGCGAATGGCGCTGAAGGAGATAGGGTCAGAGAAGGCAGGGTGAACGCATCACGCCAGGGAGGCTGCATATAGCACATACCGGCCGCATTTTAACATATTAATATAACATGTTTTAACACTGAAACATGACTAGGTTTGGACACACGCTACAAAGTGAGTAAATACCAAACAAACATCGTAACATGCTTCTGCCATCTCCTGCCATACCACCTGGCTTCGTTTGCCAACATTTTACACGGGGCATGTGGCATGTCACGAGGTGCTAGGAACATGTCCGAAACCATGTGAAGTGCTTGATCCGGGCCTCTGAGTGGTTGACGCTGACCATCTGGGAACATTCTGTGGCGTGTTATGGGGATCATAAGAGTCATTAGAATTGTATTTGACACGCAGTTATTGTTTTCATCCAACTTGCATGGACGTTTCAGCGGATACCTCAGTTTCACGGGTGTCCCAACATTGGAATCCATCCACAGCGGGAAGGCCAATGCAGATGTGGCCTTGTTGGCAATCTCAGGCTTGCCGCAGTCCAACCTAGAAAGCAAAATATGCTTTCACTCAGGCAATCTTTGCGAGGAAGTCAACCACCGATGTTCCTTATATATATATATAGATAGGAATGACCTGTGTTTAACTTCAAGCAGTGGACTTGTTGGACCAGAGCGACGAACGTTTCCTGGGGCAGCCACCAAGTCATTGCTAGACATGATGCATCAGGATACCATTCATTGTTGTAATTGGTGAGGGGCTCCAAGGCCACTTCTGGCATGAGGTGACAATTGGATTCCTTGTCAAGACAAAGATGTTGTTTCTAAAACACATCGTTCGCACTTTGTAAATTGCAAGATTGATCACTTCCTTGCCCCCAGCAAGGCACTGCAGAGGCGGGTGGTGCCGCGACTGGTTTTGGGACTCCAAAGGGCGCTTTGTAACTCTGTAACTCTTTGGCGAAGATGGGTAGTGTTTCTAAGGACCGCGTCCACCACACACAGCCGCTACTTCCCCGCTTGTCCCGTCGTTCAGTGAGTGAGCAACGGGTCCCAAAACACTGTAATTGTAATTATATAGTTATAAGATATTTTTTGCAAGTCGCAAAACCATTCAAAGACACTGACTTGTACTTGCAAGGGCTTCTGCAACCCTTCCTTCAGAAATTGCAGTCCGTCGTCCGAAACAACAAAGTCATTGCTGACCTCTTTTAGCTCTCCTCTGGCTGGCTGAAGGAATTCTTCTCCGCGCGGCAGCTACAGGTATGCTTGTACGGCATTGCTGGTTTGAAGGGCTTACGCCACACAGCCGACCATCGGCAAGTTGCAAGCGGCGCAAGACCATTGTTTCCAGGGGAGAAGCAAGTCCTCGAACAAAACGCTTTCGTGGGCTTGCCTCTCTAATTGACCAACAGCTGACTTTGACCTGTTGACATCCATGTCTCTCCAGCGCCCGCGGCAAAGAACTCATCGGCAGCTGGAAAGCGGGGAGAAGGTGGGACAGAGCTTTGAGTTCACACGGCTGCAAAGCGAAAACTCGTACCAAAGCACCCACCTTCTTTCGAAAATGAATCATCATATAAGTATTTTAGGTACTCAATATGTGCATAGTACACTTGCCGGAGATGTGTGCCGAAAATCTAGCATGAGCCCAAGCCTGCCATGCTATGCAGTGTACGTAACTTTTCAAGCCGCACGGCAGGCGAAGAAGCTGGCAAGAGAACCACCAACGAAGAATATGCAATTACTGCTAACGGTTGCCAACAACACCACCGCTGCCTTTTTTTAAATTCAGGACAGGCACCCACCAGAATGAGTTGGAAACATCCAAAATTGCAAGAACCACAAAATCTGGTTGGGCCCAAAACAGAAAGCCCATACAAACCCTCCTGATTCTTGACGAAACCGTCCTCCAAGGCTAAGGCGTCAATGTATAACCTTACTTTTCAAGACCGAAGGAGTAAGAGTCTGGCAGCGCGACCACAAACTTCTCGAAGCAGCGAAGTGCAAATGTTTGTGCCCTTGTCCAATGTTGCTTCTAAAGCCGCTCGGCATGCGCTTCTGCAGGGGTCGGTTGGTTGTTCAATATATCAAGGAGAAGCTAGGATAGATACTGCCGATGGGACCGAACACGTGTTTTGTTTGTTTTTGTTTTCTTCCTTTAAATAGTTCAGATTCAGAGGAAGGAATTCCCAGATTTGCATGCGTCTTGTTCAATGCAGAACCCATGATACACTGCAACTGATTGCAACTGGCCTTTTGTTTGCTGCACTTGGATGGCTTCCAAGCAAGTCGTTTAGCCAAAGTAAGATGCAGATTGCTGTCCTGCCCATGGAAGCATGAAGGAAGCTTCTCCAGGTGGCCTGGCCAAGATTGGTGGCTGGGTCAAGACCATGTATTTAGACGCTACTAGGGGCTCCTGGCCTTACTACTAGGAGCAACGCCGCTACTAGGAACAAAGGACGCATGGGTCTTCCTTAGTTTCCCTAAATCTAGGAACCAAATCATTGGTGCGAGCGCTTCAAGGAAGCTCCCTCGCCCTCAGACGGGGGAGCTTCCTTGAAGAAGCATGAGCCGTAGCTAGAAGCTTGTTTAGTCCCTTCCTTAATTAAGTAGACGCTAACTTAACTAAGCGGGCTAAAAAAGACACATTCCGACATCCTTTGTCGGCCATAATCGAACCATTTGCTCATTCACGAGGACTGTAAGCCTACCACAATCATCCATCCTCACTTCTAGTTACTGTACCAGTTCTACTACTTCCGCGAGTACGTCTACTTCTATTTCCACTGCATGTTTTAATTCCGGTCCCTTTTCTACTTGTACTGCTCCGCATCTACCAAGATTTATATTCTGATCTACTTCTACCCAGACTCTAGTACTCTCCGTGTCCACCACCGCTCTGGCTACTTTTGGGCTTAATTTCCCAGGACTGCGGGGTGTAGATCTTGTCAAGATATCTATACTTCATAACAGGATCCAAACTTGATCGGTTGCGCTCTATCCCAGCACACCATGCTGAAAGACCACCGGAACAACCATGACTAAAGAGAAGAGCTGCTCATGACAATGTGTCAAAAACACTTGTGTGGAAATTAGTTCCTCGGGATGGTAGGACATCAACTGTCTCTGCACCATTCCACAACATGGAGAACATCTAAGAGTGCAGGCACCTTGCTGTGTGTATGTGAGGGGTATGACAGCTGTGACACATTTGCGGTCAAACCATGAGGAAGGCTTCAACGTGACATTGAATATGTGCCTGAGGCTTTTGTGAAGCAGACATCGAGAGGGCCTGCAATCCAGGGAGCTTTCAAAAAGGTCTGACCTTGATGAAACAAGGCGCAGTGAAGCTCACAGGTGGGTGCCTGGGCTGTATAATACAGCTGGGGATGCGGATACGGCAGTTCGGCCAAACTCAATATGATGGGTCTGCTGGCACCAAACCTGATATATAGAACTCCTTTCAAGCATGCCATCCAAATGCAGGTCAAAAGTGTCCAGCAAGCGTCAATGGAAAGGACTTTCCACCGATGAACTTGGGTGTCAAACTGGTGTACAGTCTCAGCTGTTTCTCCCAGAGACAAAAACTGTAAATTGTTCTGCAACTGCAAAGATTTGGCAATGGCCTGTTTGGCACCATCAAAGGAGCTAGCAGGTCAAGCTGAGGCTGAATAGAAATGTAATGGCCTTATGACATCGAATTCGTCATGAAAACAGCATAACCAAATTACTTTACTTCGAGTGATCCCCACCATGACATTTCAATCATTTGTCTTGATGCCATAGTGAGGAGCATGTTGCCATAGTCGTCAGTATTGTAGTTCTCGATGTTGCTTGTGGGTCCTCGGGTTGTGTGCTGTGGTTGTGTGCTGTGTTGTGGTTGTGGTTGTGTTTGTGGTTGTGTGTTTGTGGTTGTGTGTTTGTGGTTGTGTTTGTGGTTGTGTGTTTGTGGTTGTGTGTTTGTGGTTGTGGTAGTGGTTGTGATTGTGTGTTTGTAGTTGTGGTTGTGGTTGCGGTTGTGTCTTTGTGATTGTGTGTTTGTAGTTGTGGTTGTGGTTGTGTCTTTGTGATTGTGTGTTTGTAGTTGTGTTTGCGGTTGTGTGTTTGTGGATGTGTTTGTGTTTGTGGTTGTGGTAGTGGTTGTGATTATGTGTTTGTAGTTGGTTGTGGTTGTGTCTTTGTGATTATGTGTTTGTAGTTGGTTGTGGTTGTGTCTTT